TCCGTCGCGCCGCGGACGAGCACGGGGAGCACCAATTTGCGGCTGCCGAAGGCCGACGCCCAGAGCGGCAGCGGCACGCCCGCGGCCGTGCAGACGATGGCCTCGAGGCCCGGCGCGACGACGCCGGCGATCAGGGCGTCGGCGATGATGAGGCCCTGGTCGTCGACGACGGGGTTCGTGAAGCGGGCGAGGATCTCCTTACCGTTCTCGACGCCGGCGTCCCAGGCGTCGCGCAGCGACTCGCCGTCGCCGTCGCCGCCGTTCGCGGCGCGCCGGACGGGTGGTCGCACGGGTCGTCGCAGCGAGGCGCGCGGCGCCTGCAGCAGCGCCGCGGCGCTCGCGACGACGAGCAGCGCCGCGCGACGGCACATCGTCAGCCCAGTCGTTGAGCTTCACGCTGAGGGAAACGTCGGCGACCACCAAAGGGGTCAAGCATGGCGGAGATCGAGGGGCTGGTCCGCGCCTTGCGCGAGGGCGACGACGCGGCGAAGATGACGGCGGCGCGGGAACTGAGCAACCTCGCGTACGCCAACAGCGCCAGGGCGATCGCCGAGGCCGGCGGCGTCCCGCTGCTCGTCGATTTCTTGCGTGATGGGAGCGCGGACACCAAGTGGCAGGCCGCGTGGACGCTGCGCAGCCTCGCATACACCAACGCCGCCAACCGCGTCCTGATCGCCGAGGCGGGCGGCATCCCGCCGCTCGTCGAGCTCCTGCGCGACGGGAACGCGGCGGCCAAAAATGCGGCGGTGTGGGCGCTGGCAAGCCTCGCGAGCAACAACGACGCCAACGCGGTCGCGATCGCGGCGACCGCCGGCTTCGAGGCGCTCGTCCAGCTCGCGCGGCGCGGCCGCGTGACCGTCGGCAACGCTTTTCTTGGCCCGGTTGTGCGCAATGCGGGCGTCCCCGCCAAGCGCAAGGCCGCGCTGATCGTCGCCGCGCTGCTCCGCGACTGCGTCCCGGACTCGGTCCCGCGCGAGCTCAAGGCCCTCATCGGCCCCTACCTCTAGGACGAATCGCTAAAGAAGGAGGCACCCCGAACGAGCCCGACAAAATTGAACGTCACCACTACTGAACATTAGGACAGCTCGAAGGTCGCGCAGTTGCGTATCGCGAAGGCGCACTGCTTCTTCATCGTGGCGTAGGACGTGAAGTTCGAGAGGACGATCTGGTGA